ACAAGGAAATATGGCAGTCAGTCAGTGGCGGTGACATTTTCAAGTCATTTACATGTACTGTACATTAAGTGTTGGGTGGTGCATTTGTTAATGTATGCAGTGCACTTCACGGCAAAGGTTACCATGGAAGCCAAAAGGGAACTACCAGTAATGTGTTTTTGCATGAGCATGAGCTCAGAAAAGTTCCAGAACTGAAATACAGTACATTTGTAATATTTTGTAAAAGCAATATAGCTTGAGTTTCTACGTTTGTCTTTGAGTGAATGTACACTATTGCTTATTGCACAGCCATGCAATGTTGAAATTACACCTGTGATTGGTTTTTCAATTTTGTAAAGTAAGCATGCTTACGTAAGGGCTGCAACTAATGATTATTTTAAGAAATGATCAATCTGTAGATTAGTCGATGAATCTGACAAAAAAAACATTCGATTTCCATCCCTTCATTCAAAAGCACATACATACACACACACACACACACACACACATATATATGTAAAAAATGAGCACATAACACCATCCAGTGTGGGTCCTTGGGCAAGACCCTTCACGCTAATGCCTACCACATACAATGGTGAGAGACAATAAATCGAATGACATGCCGGCTCAGACGTCGCCTGGCCAAACAAGTTCTGCGTCAGGTGCTGGGGAACCAGAGCACCTTGATGAAAAATGGGCTACTGGAACAAAGCGGATGGTAGGTTCATTACATGCTCTAAAATTGTCCTGAGGTGCGATTATGAGTGAGAATGATTGTCTATGTGAGCACAATCACACCTTGGGACAGTTTTCCATTAACCTGCCATGCATGTTTTAGAAATGTGAGAGAAAACCCACGCATGCACGGGGAGAACATGCAATCTCCACACAGGAAGGGCAGACCCAGAAGTGAACCCTGCATCTCACCTCTGCAGTGAGGCGGTCGTGCTAACCAGTCGACCATCATGCCAGCATATCTATATGTGGCGGGATGGTTGTTGACTGGTTAGCACGTCTGTCTCACAATGCAGGGGTCCAGAGTTCGATTCAGGGTTTCGGCCTTCCGGTGTGGAGTTTTCATGTTCTCCCCCGTGCCTGCATGGCTTTTCTCCACGTACTCTGAATCTTTGAGTAAACTCTGAGTATCATTTGAGGCCGTGCCTAGTGTCCTCTTTTTTGGAACTCAAATTATCGTCACCCGATCCTCAGCTTTCCACGGCAGAACCATGTCTGATGTGGCGTTTCTGCCCCGCTCACAAAAAGACGCTTACACCCACTTGATCATGTCTGCCATGCACAAAAGGGCAGAAAGCCCAGCTCGCTTTTGACTTACAGGATGGCTCTCTGCTATGAAGAAGTGGGTATCAAAACTGGCACAGCCTTGTGGAAGCAGCCAAATATCCTAGCGGCTCGCAACTCACTGTCAATTCCGCAATCATACATTAACATCAGTGGAAAGGGGGATAAGTGGAAAAAAGGAGGGCATGCAGACAAGCGAGAGAAAAAAGTCCGTGCCGACACACAGCGAAATCCTCACTGCAGCAACTCTACCGCCTGTAACGCCTGCACAGCAGGTGCTGTTGTTCTGCCACAGACTGACTCCACAGGCACAATCACAATTGCCTTTCGAGACAGGCAGATGCCAAGAATAATGATCATCTCTATTGGCCCTCAAACATGGCCTTCAAATTGAATACCACGTGAGATCACACCTCCCCCATTCATTTTGTTTTGAAAACGAGCAGAGATGCAGCTCATTGTGGAGGAAAACCAGTCTGCATCATTTTGTTTTATTTAATCAAAATACATACTACAAATGAGTAGTTTGTTTTTAACATCAGCTTACCGTCAGCCCTGTACATAAATATAATTGTAATAATGATAATCATCATTCATCAAAAGATAATCAACTTACACTTTCAAAGTTCATTCATGTTTTATTTGAGACACATTCTCTGCATTTCTTCACCGCTGAATTAAAAAAAAAAATTCTTTTTCCCCAAATTGCTTTATGATGAAGATTAACATAAAAAGTGGCCAAGAATGCTGCGTGCTATCCTGGGAATATTGGTGCACTTGAGCAAGGCACCAAAACACCCTAAAATGCCAAATACATGCACAGATAGATGCCTAGTGCTGCTCCGAAATCAACCAACCCTCTCTGTTATCAACTCCAGTTCTTTTTTTTTAATTTATTTTTTTTTTATACATGGGCATTTTATTTTAGTCTGTGAGAGATTTTTGCCCCTTTGCTTATCCATGCTCGCCTTGTCTAGCTGTTTACTGATGCTAAATTGTCATGTGTAATAAAGAGAGGCGGGCAGAGACATACAGTACAGACTGCGGCATTGACACATTGAGAACATTTCAAGACAGTTTTTCAAATGAGACAAATTCACAAGTTTATGTTGAGTTGAAATCTAAAAGAAAAAAAGTGTGACCACAAACTATGGAGGCCCTAAGGGTACAAAAAAAAAAAAAAAAAAGACCTTTGCATTCCCTCGGAAAGTTTTGCGTTCCTTCGCAAAGATTGCGAGATATCGCACACTTTTTTTTTTAATGCGCGTTGATGTACTTCTGGATTTGTCCGAGTGACTGAAACCAACAAACATGGCGTGTTTTTACCCGTTGGCGAGTTTCATTGAATTGTACTTTGAAATTGGCTTGTAATACAAAGACTTTAAATCTGTTTTTGAGCTGAAAAACGGTTTCCAAATCAACGAAAGACATCTGAAGCGAATGCTGAACAAAAGAGGACTATTTCGTCAGAAAACGTTCACTGACTTGGCAGTTCTTGCTAACTTTGTTGCTAATTGCACCATTCCAAACAGCTACACGGTTACAAACGGATGTACAGTAAGTACAGAGAACATGGACTTCTTGTCAGGAAAGAGGCTGTTCGTCTGGTCCGGAAAGAGTTGGATCCGAGAAGAGTGTCGTTCAGGCAAGCAAGACATCTGAGATACTAACTTCTCTAAAGTGGCCAAATCTTATTTAGTATAATGTGGCTACTAGAGGCGATTGCTCTAAGACTGCAAGGGAAGCTCAGCTTCCCCTATAATGTCAAAAAGTAAGTGATCAAATATATGTGTGTACATACAATTGTGTATACATGTCATTGACTAAATATGCGTTACAACGCGCTCTACTTTTGTTCTGAATCAGCTTCTTAAGACTGGTTACGACGCGACTCTCTTCTCATTCATTCTCGCAGCTTCACTGTGCTTTAAACTGTGTGGACGCCGAGCGTTGACCGCTCGGACGCTGGGCGTATAGAGAGTATCCCCAATGCATTGAAACTAGACGAATCATTGGATAAATGCTGGTTTTGTCCCTCCCACCGGATGCTCAGTGTCTTTGGGAGTCTATGGGCAGTGGGCATGTATCGGCTGGCCCGGACGCTGAGCTTTTCTGCATGATGATTGGATGATCTGTCTGAGGCTGAATCTCTTTTTGATTGACAGCGAAATGAGCCAATCACGATCTTTTAGTGTAGGCATCCGTGGGAGCATCTTTCAATTCTCATTCTGTTCTGAGTTGAACGGGAGACTTCTTCTAATCATCTTAGCGACACTCTCTTTGTAGAAAGCAACTCGCGACAAATTAATCTTTTATTTCTGGTAGGTTTTATTGTAGTTGCAGGACACTAGTTAAGTCCCTGGAGAAGCCGCCTTGTTGGTATGACAGGGTCACAGATAATTTTCTTGAAAATGAACGGAGAGTAGAATTCACATACTGTATGAATATAGGGACACATTTTATGATGTTGGCCAAAATTGAGCTTCCCCTCCTTGACAGACCAGCATCCGCCACTGGTGGCTACACAGCAAGTAGTGACCCAAAGTTGATTAGGAGGTTACGGTACTACAAATGCAGAAGTGTAACATTTTTGAGGACTAATAATATATAGCCATCGCAATTAAAACATTTGTTGTCTCTGCTATTTTTCTTCCTGTACAAGGACAACATATTTGATCTATGATATAAAATGTTAGTTTGTAAAAGCATTATTTGTGAAAATAAACTTTAATTCTTGGTTACTGACTTGATCCACAATTACACAACCAAATTGGATGCTGACTAGTATTCCTTCATACCTGTACAACATCCCGATTGAGATTTCACGCTTTTTGCCTGAAAAAGATGACTACATAATTGTCACTCCTGACTTTCGTCAGTAGGTGGTTTCTTGTGTTTAAAAAAAAAAAACGAACTATTCGAATGATTTGGAACTAATTTTATTAACATTCACAAATTCTTACAAACATCAATCACAAACAGCCTTTACATGTAAAGGGAATATAAACTAGAAAAGCACGTGTTTTTCTTCTAACAGTGCACAAATTTTTAACAATTTATGATGTATCAACTGTACAACCTTAACTTCAAACCTTTGGGTCAAACTGAAAGAAATGAAAGTGGCAGTTATTTTCAAGCTCCCATTCATTTTCTACGCTTATCCCCATTAAGTTTTGTGAGACATCTGGAGCCTGTCCCACGTGCCTTTGGGTGAGGGTAGGGTTTATAAACCCAGGAACGCTTTCCCCTGCTAAGATCAGAGCATTTGCACATTCACACCTCAGTAAAGATATTTTTTTTTACAAATTAAAAAGTTCAACAGACCTGAGAATTTTGGAAAGAAGGTGGAGTACCTGCAGATCACCCATGCAAGTACAAGCCAACTTCATACACAAAGAACCTCATAACTGTGAGACATGTGTTATGGGAATTTGACATCTAACAGGGCTAAAATGTAAGTAATCGTTTGTACCATTGAATGTTGACCAATTATTTTGCAGATAAGCAAAGTTGCCTGCTCATGCACTAGTCTGCATTCTGTGTAGTAGCTCAAAATGCTGATTGTGCTGACCTTCGCCCCTCCCAAAAAGAAGAAAACGAGATAAAAAGAGTGCGAAACAGAGAGGGCTCCCTTGACAAATGTGTGAACGGTGTCTCTCCATGTTTTTTTTTTGAATAAATCTCATCATTTTTTAATCATACTTGTCTTGGTTTCCCTGGACAAGACACGTGCTAATCACTCAATACACTTTCCTGCCCCTTCTGCTGTTTCGGTCTCAGAAAGTCCTCTTTGATTTGTGGACCTTGCTTGCAAATGCAGGCTCTGCAACAAACACAATGAACACTCTCAAAATAATTGTTTGCAGCAATTTTAAAGTCATGTAATGGTAAGCATTTTGTTCTGATTAAATACAGATTAGGATTAAACTTCAGTAATAGTATAAGATTGTTGAGAATTTTCCCTTAGATGCATTTTTGAGCAAATATGTTCATTACTGGGACGCACAATGTTTTTAGTTTTTTTAAAGAGCAAAATGATTTCACTTCAATCTATCACAACAAAAATTGCAACAAGTGGCGCAAACCTGTTCTCCTATGCCACTGGCCGACGAGTGTCCATGATGCAATACATTTTTATGCACATTTGTGTCAAGGTGAGATCCATCTTCAATCAACTGCGAACATTATACCACCATGTAGGTGACAGATAAAGGAGTTTCACTGCATTCATCCAGATGACATGTTGGAGGATTTTCTTTTGTGCAAATGTAAAATCTAATCAGCTTCAATTTGTTTTGTTTTTTTTCATAGAGTCTGCCAACAGTTTCATCTAAAGAAATCTGATTTCTTTTAAAATCACAGACCTCCAAAGTAGTCACCAACTGGTCCTTTGGTTGAGCTTCCATCTGGGAAAAATAGCTCTTTTCCAAACTCCAAAATCTGAGGAACAGTTGCTGTTTTTTCCATGATGGCATGCCTTGTTCCTCCACCATTGCTTGTCCTCACTTGATGGTATTCGTTGCCATAAAAATGGAGCCATGCTATTTCTGTTAGGGTTTGTATGTGACCCCAATTGCACGACAACAGGCAGGTATGGTGGAAGCCAACACTTGGCGTTGTTTATTACGGTCTTTGCAATGTCACTCAGGGAAAAGCACGAAGAATCCATTGGGAAATGTCAACACAACAAACGAAAACCTCATTCAGTGAGAAAACTGAGACTTACTTAAATGTTCAGGGAGAAGCTCGAGGAGTCCACAGGGGAATGTCCACACAGGAAAAAAAAACTGCAGGCGATGCCAACAGAGCTCACTATAGGTGGTGACGGCACAAACTTGCACTGAGGAATGGTTTGGGAGCCAACTTATACTCGTCTAAACGAGCAGATGAGCTACAGGTGGGTGATGAGCTGGCGAGTGTCAGGTGTGAAGTGCAGAGCGACCTGGCTGAGGAGACTACCTGGCTGGCCCCTCCCTAACAGTACCCCCTCCCCTACGGTAGCCACCTAGTGACCCGCCAGGTTTGTCGGGATGGGAGCGATGAAACTCAGTGATCAGGGCAGGGTCCATAATGAGCCGGAAGGAGACCCAGCTCCGATTCTCCATGCCGTAGCCCTCCCAGTCAACCAGATATTGGAATCCGCCTCCTCAGCGCCGGACATCCATCAGTTCACGGACCTTCCACTGGGGGTGCCCGTCCACAAACTCAGGGGGAGGTGGGGCCGGGGTCAGAGGCATCAGGGGGCTGACGGAGACTGGCTTAACCCGGGACACATGAAAAACAGGATGAATCTTCATGGAAGGAGGGAGCTTCAGACGCACTGCTGCAGGACCGAGCACCTTTTGGATCTCGAAGTGTCCAACAAACCGGGAACTTAGTTTCTTGGCACCTGGCTGAAGTGGAAGATCTTTGGAGGACAGCTGCACCTTCTGCCCAGGTCGGTACGCCGGTGCTGAACAACAACGACGGTTGGCAACACGACTGGCACGTTCCGTCGCACAGAGCTACTTCAGACTCCTGTGCAGAGAATATGGGTGGCTGGTAACCCAGACAAACCTCAAAGGGTGAGAGTCCGGTGGTGGAGCAGACCAGGGAGTTGATTGCATATTCAACCCAGGGGAGAAACTGGCTCCAGGAGGCAGGCTTCTTCACGGCCACACAACGAAGGGCGGACTCCACGCTCTGGTTCATTCTCTCAGTTTGCCCGTTAGTCTGGGGATGATATCCTGAGGAGAGACTAACAGAAGCACCCAACACCTTGCAAAATGCCTGCCATACACGGGAGACGAATTGAGGTCCTCGATCCAAGACAATATCCTTGGGAAGGCCATGCAGGCGGAACACATGGGCCATGAGGTGCTCAGCAGTCTCGGACGCCGATGGAAGTTTGGGCAGGGCCACCAGGTGAACTCCCTTGCTGAAACAGTCCACCACCGTTAGGATCACAGTGTTATCCTGAGAAGGGGGAAGTCCGGACACAAAGTCCAATGCCACATGGAACCAGGGCCGACTTGGTGTAGGAAGGGGCTGCAGCAGACCGGCGGGTGCCTGGTGATAAGCCTTGCTGCGAGCGCAGACAGTGCAGGCCATGACAAATTCCTTAACATCTCTCATCATGGTGGGCCACCAGAACCTCCAAGCCAGGAAGGTGAAGGTACGACGATCATTAACATTTACGTCCTGTTGATCATGGCATCCAAACGAAGAGGAACAGTAATGACGGCGGAAGAGAAAGTGAAATGTATCTGATTAAGCGAAGTGGGTTACTGATAGAGAAATCTATGAACAAAATTGTATCATGTTTAAAGTTTCGGTTAATTTGGGCATGTCTGGACATACTCAGCGCAGAGGTGTCGGCCGTTTGGGCGGAGGGCCTTCTTTTGAGTAATCACGTCAAAGCAAGGGGGGCGAACAGATGGAAAAAGGCTTGACTCAATCACAAAGTGGGAATAAACGAATTGGGAACAAAGAGTTGTTGAATACCAAAGGACGGTTTGGGAACAGCTGTCGCACCCAGGGGGACATTTGTCATCAGCAAAGTCTGTGACTTGTGTATTCGGGTAGATCAGATCACTACCGAGGGGACGGACCGGGGGGCGCGGTATGCAAATATCGGGGGCAGTGTTTTTCTTGTATTTTGCAATAAAAGTTCGAACCGGCGAAGAGGGAGCCGAGTGTGTGATCATCGGGGCAACTAAAGTCGTGCGCTCTCAGAGATCCCTCCCGCCGATATTGAAGACAATTTTCCCTGTATGCCGAGTCATTTCTTTAACTTTGTCTGAGAAAAACTCTGACAGTTACAAAGTACGAAACATTCAGGAGGCGCATGGAGTCGGAAAGACTCAAATCTACGAGACTTTGAAAAACGAGGAAGAGATTCTTGCTCAGTCTGATTTTGGCAATTTCCATGCTCAGAGTGAATGCTTGCGTCTCGACGGACAGTTGAGTAAATGAACGTTCCCTAGGCAATATATTGTTGCACTTTGTTGCTTGTGTTGTCACACATGTATGTTGTTAACATACTTGGACGTTCATACAGGATAGATACCATAGTTGTTTCACTGTTCTCATTTAAAAAAATATGTTAATACTTTAATGCTTTTGTTCTGTTGATGTTTGGTATGGACTATCAACGTATGCAGTTTTTTATATGTACCGTATCTTGTGCTGACCCGGCACACCTGTCAAATTTTAGAAATCAATGTGGCCCCCGAGCCAAAAAGTTTGCCCACCCCTGCCTTAGACCGTAGGTGTCAAACTCCGGTCCTGGAAGCCCGCCGTCCTGCAAATAATCAGCTCATCAGCAAGCTCTTCAGAAGCCTAATATTGAGCCTGTTCGTTTGAATCAGGTGTGTTGCAACAGGGAGAGATAAAAAACATGCAGGATGGCGGCCCTCCAAGACCGGAGTTTGACACCTTTGACCCTTGGCCTTGGCAGAAGTGGAGAATGGTGTGCCTGTCAATACCGTCCGTAGAGGAGGTGTGAGACATCTTCATTATTGGTCTTCAGATAGGTATCCTGCTTTTTGGAGTTGGCAGTTTCCTGATCTTTTGCAAAATTCAGTCATTAGGAGCAGCTGCATTGGATGGAAATAAGCTGATGGTCTTCATGGAGGATGTGGGGTGGGTGATGAACACTGAAGTCAATTGCAAGGCGAATGCCCTTTTGAAGTCACTTCGCAAAATGGAAAAGAAAGGAATAGTTGGCATCCTGCCTGGAGAAACTAATTGAGGATTCGGCATATTGATGCCATTGAGCGTCACAAGCTAAAAGACTTTCAAGGCTGTCTGAAATTGTTGAAGGCCTGTTCCCAAAACAACTGCTATCTGGACTTTCCCTTGGATGAAAAATACGCTTGGATGCTAGAATTCCAATCAACCCCTTACCCTTCCTTCCCGAGCCCGAAACTGATATTCGAAGGATTTCTCCACGGAGACGATAAGCTTGACCATGCAGCTGCAGATGCGTGACACGCACACAAAACCACGACAACATGCTACACACCTGCCTGAATGTCACCGCAGGGGAGTGCAATGTATTTATATATTTTTTATATTTTTATATTTCGCGACGCACTTGGGGATGGAGGCTCCTGCAGAATTTCGTTGTAACAAGTGTGCAATGACAATAAAGTATTCATTCATTCATTCATTCATTCATTCATTTGATGCCTATACACTCCGCCCTCATGACTTAACTTGAATAACAGACCGCTCAACTGGTCTGAGGTGCTTTTCAGACTGGTTGGCTTGCATTCCCTCCTCCTCCCTCTTTCCATCCTCCCCGTTCACTACATGTAAAGTCTCGAGATTTGCTGTACATGTCTTAAATGTATGCTGCATGTGCTGAGGTTTTATCTCAGGCTCAAACCATGCTGCCATTCAAGGAGAATATTTAGATTATGTCGGGTTCTTTCCCTCCTTTACCCCTTTTTTTTCCTTTCACATCTTAGATTTTGGGGTGCTAAACAGCGGACCGCCTGTTCTGTTCCCCTTTGTTGGTCATTGTTTTGTTTCCGCTCCTTTGGACGCGTTGTTACTCGGAAAGTAAATTCTTTGTGTGTTTGACATTTGGTCAATGAATCTATTCTGATTGAAATTGGCCGCACCCTTAGATGCACAAAAACGGATGGATTTTGGTGCTTAACTCATCTTTGACAAATGCAATATTAATCAGAATGCCGTGTTTAGACTAGCAGTAGTCCTGATGAGTTTAGAATAGGGATTCAGAGACTTTTTGGGCTGTTACATAAGCCCCCTTTCATGGATTTTTGTGACATGGTCAACCGGAGCTGTTTTGTTAAAATATACAGAAGGTGCACCAAGCTATTTGTAAAAAACTGCACAAAAAACTCATTAAATGGTGAATATTTTCCCAAGCATGTTGTGTGTGCCAAGTTTCATATCATCTATGCATCCATTTCCAAGACTGCTTATCAAGAAGAGGGTCGCGGGGGTTGCTGCAGCCTGTCCTAGCTGTCTTTGGATGAAAGGTGCACGAAGGCGCACTACCCCCTGACCTGGTCGCCAGTCAGTTGCAGGGCACATATCGAGGCAGGCAACAATTCACACCCACAATGACACCGTCACTGAGTGGGAATCGATTCCATGCTGCCCGCACATAAATCAAGTGAGTCACCAACAACGACTTAAGTTTCATATGGTTTCACAAATGTTTGGACCATCAAAATCAGTGTGATCTTTCGAAAACAGTGAGATGCCACGACAACAGCGTTGGACAAAATAAAATGCTTTGCTTTTTCCTGGTTGCCTTGAACTTCTTAAGATGAAACATTCATAGTTTCAAGACAATCAGATATAATCGATAATCATGAGCATTTTAGTAGAAGCACCCACAGTTTCAAGACAAATTGATGAAATCTCTTGAAAGAGTTTTCTTAAAACGTGACCCCTACTAAAGGCCAAAAGGGGTCAAGTTTGAAAGAGAAAAGCATAAAAGAATGAGACATTTATTTCCTGTGGCCAGTAGGCGGCGCTATGCCTACGGTGAAAATTTTATTCGTAGATCAGTCCAGGTCTGGACTTTCATCAAATAAGTGAAATTTGGGGAAGATAGGATAATCTTGGTCAGTTTATAGCAACGATTATTGTGAAGGTGAATCTATCGACCAGCCATGGGCACTTCCCGTCCTGGAAGGCCGCTATCCTGTAGGTTTTCCATCTCTCCCTGTTGCAACACACCTGATTCAAATGATTAGATCATCAGCAAGATCTGCGGAAGCCTGATATTGAACCTGCTCAAATAGCGGCCCTCCAGGATTGGAATTGCCCACCCCTGCATTAGACTATGCACCATAATGGCCTTTCGCCAAAAAGTCATAATATTCGACATAGAGC